AAATATATAAATATAGATGTGAACAAATTCGGCTTTCAGTCTGCCTAAATTTTTGTATGCCTGTCTTGATTACGGTCCTGGGTACAGTTCTACCCTGTATCTACTTTACGATCAATATTTTACTATTATAACTAACAATAAGACTATCTATTTAATGAAAAGGCCGCTAGCATCGCATTCTAATTAATTTCCAAATTTTTTTCAATGAAACAATTCATTAAGCTTCTCCACTAATTCGACTGTGGCGATTGAATGAAATCCGCGAACTGGAGCATTAAAGAGTTATCTTTTTAAATCTTATTTTTGCATCGGTCTTCAGATGCAATTCGAAGCCTGCTTAATACCTTTTTTTATTCTAAACGAAATTCCGATTTCAATCTAAAAATTTCCCCGGGCTAGACGAAGAAATGCGTTATAATAACCAGCTCTGCATCTAGATTACTACTAAAAGCGCCAGAACGATTATCATTTTCGAGTCAAGAAAAATAATTAAAATGCATACGTAGGATTACATTTCTTTTCAAACAAAAAGGAATGTATCCGATTCTTAACATAAAATTATATTTATCCTATATGAATATTTGTTGCTAACAGTAGTACTTCAAACAGTTCTTTTTATTATTAAAGTTTTTTTTACTTATGATCTCATATATTATATCCATTGTTACACGCTAATGTTCTTAGTACATCATCTTCCTTTTTGTAATCATCTTTGTTGAGCGAAGNAAACGTATAATATTATATACAAAAAAATAATGAGTGCTTGCAGTACAGGGCAGAGTAGTATTACGTAAATAAAAGTTAGTATCAGTAATTTCTTATGCTGAAGAAGTGTACGATGTGTTGCATACCTATTTACAAACAATTCGTTTAAATTTAAATCTTTGATTACTATACATCTATTAAAAACCATAATGGCCGACATCAGTGACAATGCGACAACAATTAAAAAAGAATGATGGCCGACAACAGCAACAATTAGAAAAGAATGATGGCCGACAACAGCAACAATTAGAAAAAAATGATGGCCGACACTACGTCATAGTATTGTTCACAAAAGTGAATTTCGACCATTCGAAGCAATGGTTTCGAGCTCACAGTGACTGATAGGGGGGAAGAACTAGTAATAGTAAAATTAATTAATTAATAAACTGAAACGGTGCTTTTTTTTGACGTTTGTTTCAAATAAAATACTCTGACAGATACTGTTTATTAGGTACCTGCTGTCAATATTGTAGCAAGTGTTTGTGTTGTGTTAACGGTTTAAAAATGAATTGTGAATAAAATATTTTTAAAATGTGTAAATGTTATAGTTTGATACGTTACGTCTTATTTTAAACGTGTGACCGTCCTAAAATGAGGATGATGTGACTTACAGGGTAAAGGATAATCCAACGTTCAACATACAGGTACTGTTCATGAATTTTTTAAGTCTAATGATAGCTTGGTGTATTTTCTTTGATTAATTACATAATACTTATACCATAATCAATATATTTCCAAAAATAGTAAAGACAAAAGTTACAAAAATAAATCAGAAATTATAATGATTAGATATCCGAATCGAACCGCCTTTTGCTTTATTTATATTATTATTTTATGCAATTGGTCTCTATCAAATCCAGAAGTTACATTCAATTGCAATATAAAATTTGTATTCTGCGAGATTAAACCACATTTCCCACAAACTATTCCCTGTTAAATGATGAAAAATTGCGCTAAAAAGAGACTGTAAGAACAAGAGAGCTTTTGAAACTTTTCAAGTGCATGGTAATCGAAATTGAAGGAAAAATAAGAAGCTGCAAACAATATGCAAATTCGAGAAAAACCGTTTTATCGGTGCGAAACCGTTAACTCACTTTAATTGAAGATTGCAAAAACGATGCCAGTCTAATAAAAAAAGGGTCGTGTTGCATCTGAGCAACGGCATAAATTACAAAGTCTGAAAAGCCCCAAGGCTTGCGGCCATTTCAGCTCCGGTAATTACAACACAACACTCCGACAAAGTTTTTCGTGAATAATCCCTCTAAAATTATTCTGGCATGCTACACTGCAAACCACTACTAATTTCCATTGAATATGGTACACAACAACCAAATTGTAATGAACAAAAGAAAAACAGTAGTGCACAGCAATAGCACACCCTCCTCAATAGAACACAAGTAAAAATGAATCCCGCAAATGTTTCATTTTATTCCCTAATTTTGCTTTGGAATAGTTTAAATTAGATATTGTTATCTCATAACTTATAATTACATTTAAACTCGATTTTGAAAGGCTAAATATAAAAAGTGCAAAGAATTAATTATTAAACAAATATATTCACAGGTTAAATGATGGGGGTAGTGAAATTATTCAGCAATCTAGTAACATTGTATTTTAGCAAAAAATAATGCCGAACAGTGCCTATTTCACACCGCACTCAAAACCCGTTGACACCATGAGATTTTCCGAACTTTTTTACATAATTATCACTTCTCAAACTATTCTAAACACTTTCCATCTCCTAATAATCTAACGAGCGCTTTATGTGCCCCCGTAAAAATACACGATATTATTCTAAAAAAAATTACAAGGGTCAAGTTCATGCCATAAAACCGTAATAAATCAACTTAAAAGTAACGTACTAGCTGTTGTTTTAATTCAAAAACATCCAGAAATGGTATTATCGTATGTTAGCTTCCGTAAGCAACTTACGTAGAACTTTTTTCTCTGCTGGTCATATATTTTCCCTTTTCTGTTGACGACAGCTCGGTTGTGTTTGGGACAATTTTTCAACCGAAAGAGAAAAGTCCCGGACACCGACTCATATCTAAGGGCAGTTTGAAGAGACAAGAGTAATATTTAAAAGTTTATCTGAACGTGCGGAACGTGGAAAAGCTAAAACGATGAGATAGTATGTTTACGGCCAAAACTTTCTGACGCCCTAAATAAAATTTACATATTTGTTCTCCTGACTCGAATACTAAATCATGCACGCGCCAGTATACTATATTAATATTTAGATTTCTTATCATTCTCGATGACAATAGAACAGGCTTAAAATCATTTTAGTTGGACAAAACATAAATTCAACAATATTAATTATTTGAACTAGTTTTTCCCTCTGCCTCCGGCCATTTTTATTGCTTCACTATGACGTAGTGTCGGCCATCATTCTTTTCTAATTGTTGCTGTATTGTTGCTGTTGTCGGCCATCATTCTTTTTCAATTGTTGTCGCATTGTCACTGATGTCGGCCATTATGGTTTTTTAATAGATGTATAGTAATCAATGANAACTCAAGTATGTTGTAATTTCTCTATTTCTCCTTTACTATTAATTACATATATTAGGTTCTCTAAAGAAAAACACCCTGTATAGTTACAAAAATTTGCTCATTATCAGTAAGTAAGTTAATAATTTAAAATGACTATTACTAATTTAATTCTACTATTACTACTATATCACTAATTTAATTTCTTTCTTTTAGCTTTTAAAAATCAAAAATTATGTATGTTTACTTCAAAAAAGTTATCTAATCCACTAATGGTTAAACTTTTACCACTTCCGGTCTGACCATAAGCTACCACTAAAGCACTTATCCCTTTGAAAACATCCGCTACAATATCGGAAGTAATAGAATTGTATATTTCCTCTTGGCATTCTCTAAAAAACACTTTGTCAGTTTCAAAATTCCAATAAGTTGGATCATCCGCTTGGCATCCTTTTAAAAAATCTTGTAAACTTCTGACATATATCGTTTTACCGTCTTCTAATATTTTTAAATATTCCCATTGTTTATTTTTAGAAGGCAAAATTCTTGCATAAGTTTTAATATTTTTAGCTACATTGGCGCCTTTCATAATGGAATGCAAACTTTTGAACGAAGTAGCATCAAAACAAAATAGTTTTTGACAAGCGAAAATTTAAAAAAAATTTTGTCATTGTCGTAAAATGTAGAGGAGCATGAAGAAATTTAATTTATTTGTGTCCTGTAACTACTTAGCTTGTGAATTTAAATTAATATAAGGCGCAAATTTGAATAAACAGAAACCGGAAGCAAGTGTCTATCTGCGCTTGAAAAGTTACTATAACTGTACGAATACAAATATTTGGAAAAAACTAGTGTCAAAAAAACATTTTCGTTATTTGTTTTAATATGGGTGAAAATTTAAATTTTCGAAAATATAAAGAAAGACGTCAAAATTAAAATAAGGCGTCTTTAGCGACGTGACGAATATAAAAGTCCTAGAATAATATACATAACCTCATACAGTGACGTAAAAAATGGAAACCACAGTAGCACCAGTTTATGTAGAAGATGAAATAGGCCGTAAATGGGATAGATGTGTTACTGATTGCATTTTAAAATTTGGTAAGATTGTTGTATTAATAGTTGACGTTATATTTTTAGTCTTCTTGTAACTATTTCAAGAAAAATATTTTTTATGTGTTATGTCATACTTCCATTAGCTACATAAAGTGCATCATTATAGGCGGTGGAGTGCTTTTGGGTGGAGTTTTTTCGTTACTTTTCTTCAAAAGAAAACGGTGGCCCGTAATTCTTGGTGGCGGTATTGGAATAGGAATGGCATATGCTAATTGTGAACAAGATTTAAATGCTACCGTATTGGCACATCGATCTCCACCTCCTTGTTTATAATACACGCATTTTTAAATAAAACAGACATTATTAATTAGAAAGTATTTATATGGATTATGGCTTTTAACGGAAGGTATATATAGAATGTGATTCTGCATTATAGCCAAGTAATATAGAAAGGATTTTAATTTTATTGCGTACTATAGATAGGATATAAATAAACAAATTCCACTTATTCTTAATACAATTAATTGTTTTGTAAGAGATTGATATCTTTATTTTCTTATTTCTACATCTGTTGCTGATAAAATGTGTTAGCTATTTTCTTTTACAATGAATCTTTATTTTTTGAAATAATTATTTTAAACTATAAGCTATTGCTTGGCTAAATAGATTCTATGCTTTGAGGTCTGCCTAGTTTTCTTCAATTTGGGTTGTAAATATTCGAAGTGCAAGTCATCTGATTCGCTCTTATTGATCTACTTTTTGTGCAATAATTAATATTATATAAGAGTTTGAATCTCCGTAAAATGGTTGTTAATTGGCCTGCAGCTGGTGCTGTGCTTTTGCCTCATATAGGAGGTTTTGCTGGTGCAATTGCCACTCGAAGTAATGTTGAAACTTGGTATAAGGGGCTACAAAAACCATGTTTCACTCCTCCAACTTGGAGCTTTGGGTGTGTGTGGTCGGGAATTTATTCCGGTATCGGTTATGCTTCTTACATGGTGTGGCGAGATGGAGGTGGATTTGAAGGTGTTGGTGATATAATACATTTAATTTCTAAATTATTTTAACATTTGGATATGCTGTAGGTGAGGCAAGATTGCCACTAGCAGTGTATGCTACAAATCTTGCCCTGAATTGGGCATGGACTCCAATATTTTTTGGGGCAAAGAAGACTCAACTTGTGAGTAAATTGATAAACAACTTTTAAATTTGTTGAAAGAGCAGCTTAATATGTTCTAGGCACTGTATGAAATAAATCTAATCACTGCAACTGCTGTAGCAACAGGAGTCCTTTTCTACAAAATAAATCCTATTGCAGGATACTTGTTTATTCCTTACATTGCTTGGTTAGGACTTGCTACAGCATTAAACTACAAAATATGGAAAGATAATCCTGAAGAAACTGATGATAAAATAGTTGAAATTAAGGACAAATAATACTATAAGAGGCTGATATTGGTGCTGTATGAAATAACATCTAAAAGCTGATAGTTGTAGGATGTGTTTGATCAGTACATGTGGAAATTGTTTGTAGTAGGATTATACGTCATTAATTTTATATTGATCAGTTTTTATGCACAACATTTATGTAATTACAGAATAATACGTAGTACATTCCTAACATTAATATGTTAAACAAAAAATACTTTGCTACATGGCTTTTTTTTGGAGAGTATTAATAAATAGTCTCGCAAAACAGTATTTCATTAATACATTAATTCATTTGCTTTACAGGTTGAAATAAAATGAATATTTTATAATAATATATTGTAAAAATTTGGCCAGACATTCCCATTTCTGGACAATTTTTTCTCTCTATCCCAATTTTTTCGTTTAATTTCTTGAATTAAATCTAAAGCGGACATTTTATTCCTTATAATTCAATTTATCTTTTATGGACTTAAAAAAAATTAAAATATCACGGTTGGCTATTATTGAGCTAGTATTTTTTTAGAATTACTGAATTGCTGGTACTGGAGAAACATTTATCATAAATTGTACCAATCTTTTTTAAATTTGTTCTGTTTACTTAATTTTTGTGAAAGCGAATGGAATTATTATAGTCGATTTCTTTTGTATATGAATTTTCAGATAAATTTGCTATCTTGTGCGTTTAAAAATTGTTTTCGAATGTACATCAAATTTCCCGGTTATGTTAGTATTCGACTGCGTACGCATATGACAAGCGCAAACGGAAACAGCACCATTTTCTCTTTGTGGTGGGCCGGTAACTGATTACACGTGCCCATGAAGAAGTTCTCTTAAAACAAAGAAAATAAATAAAGACCGAATTGAAGTGTTTTAGTGGTGGAAGTATTTTTGTTGTCTCGATTTTAAAAACCAATTGTTATCAAAAATGAATCCAGAAAAATTGAAGAAAAGAGAACCCCAAGTTCGCATTGGTGGTAAAGGCACCCCCAGACGTAAAAAGAAGGTTGTCCACTCTACTCAAGCAACTGATGATAAAAAACTTCAATCTTCATTGAAAAAACTCTCTGTTAACACGATACCAGGCATCGAAGAGGTTAATATGATTAAAGATGATGGTACAGTAATACACTTTAATAATCCAAAAGCACAAGCTTCCTTAACCGCAAATACATTTGCAATCACGGGTCATGGTGAAAATAAACAAATAACGGAAATGCTCCCAGGAATTTTAAGTCAGCTTGGCCCTGAAGGATTAAATCAACTTAAAAGACTGGCCAGTACGGTAGCTAGTGCAGGTGTTGGAAAAATAGTCCAAGAAGATGAAGAGGACGTGCCAGATTTAGTAGAAAACTTTGATGAAGCTTCCAAAGAGGAGGTTGGCAAAAAGAAGGAAGAGGATAAACCCAAGGATAAAGAGAAAGAAAACTGAGCGACTAACAGATACCAGTTGGATGCTGTTGCTTGCTCTTGTAATCTGTAATTGTAAGTGTTTTTCAAGACGCATTGCCAATAAAACTGTAATGTGTATCTTAATATCTAGTTTTCTGTCATGCCCTGTATAGGATGTTTTCTAAGAAATATTAGACCAAAACAAATTCATTTTATTGTATGACAAGAAAATTAATATCTAATCTAATTGCAAAGGATGTACTTTTGTTTTGGTTTGTTGAATAAAACGTTAATCACATAGTTTTCATTAGTTTTATTCTTTTATTATTAGTTTTACTAATTTTAAAATGAACATAAGAAACAGTGAATTCCATGTGCTATCACAAAAGGTCTTTTCTCTAACTACATATAATTAAACAGTAACTGAAACGGTTATTATTGAGATTAATATTTTTATTAAGTTGCCCCAAAATTTAACTGGTACATAGTAATGTTTTATCCTTTTGTTTCAGGGATGAATTAAGGGCCATGAAATTAAAGTTTTAAGTACAATATAATATAGAACAAACAGAATAGCTCAAAACCCCAACGCCAAAACACGACACTGTAGTTGTCCGAAGCACTTTTCGGTAACAAAGTTACCTTCTTCAGGGACTGAAGTAAACTTCAACAACAACTACAGTGTCGTGTTTTGGCGTTGGGGTTTTGAGCTATTCTGTTTGTTCTACAACAACCGCCAAAGTTTTTCCAATCTTCATATTACAATATAATACAAAAGCCAGTTTTTTGTCCTTTAATTTTGCTAGTCTCAAAGAACGTTTTTAATGATAATTGATACTATTATCGATTTTGTAAGTTGACAGAGGGTCAGAGTTCAAGTTTGATAAAAATTTTTGAATAGTTTAGCAGAATTATAAAAAAATATTTCTATTTTAGTCTTCAAATTGTATTCTCAAGCAAAAATGAGAGACTCTTTTTGCCATAAAACTGAAATTTATTGTTATCTTCTCACAAAAAAATGTGATCTTATAACTTGTATGTAAAGGTCCATTTACGCATTTTCTTTTTTACTTTCTTCCATCTTTCACGTTCTTTTCTCATGACACACTGAAAATGTTCAAAAATTGTTTTGGCTGGATTTGGTTTCTCATCTAAATTTTCAATGTCAGTTTTCTCAGTTATATTGTCTTCAAGTTCCAATATTTTCTCAAGACACTCGTTTTCCTGAAAGAATGTTTTGTATGGTAAAATAAATATGCATATGTAACTTTACTCACAGGTTCCACAGACATTTTTATTGATATTGTCGAATAAGTATCACGACAAAATTTCTGAAATTGTTTTCGAACGTCTTTTTTGAGTTGTCTAACTCGATCCAATGAAACCTTAAGTTCTGCTTGTTTTTCCAAAGCTCTTTCTTGTTGTTGAATTAGTTCTCCTTCTGCCTGACACAACAATTCCAAACACGCTTTTTCCAATTCTGTTAGCTGTTTTTCTTCTTCAGCAACTTCTTCTGGGTTCTCTTCTTTACCATTATCTAATTTCTCATACAATTTATCTTGAGCAGAAGCCTAAAACATTAGTGAAAGGACTTTAAAAATTCTTTTACTCGTTTATCCTCACTTGGTATAACTCATCCCGTCGTAAGTCTACCAATTCCAAGCACTTCTCTATTTGTTTTGTTTCATACAAATAGTAAAAATGTTTCTCTTTGGCTTCAGAATCGGCATTGGTCAATTCTTCCTTCAGTTCCTTGTACTGATATCCTTCAGAGAGTGTAAAAGCATCCCAAGCAATTTGAGGATCGGGAATGCTTTCAGGTAAAGCAAGTTCCTTGATCATCTTCTCATCCATTCCAATCGCTGATAAGGACATTACACTCGAAGAACGCCTCTTTTCTCTCTTCATTTGCATCAGACTGCTTCCTTTAGACCTTCTTAATAATTTACTCCCTTGTTCACTCACTGCGCCAGTTCCTAAAATATTTATTAATGTGTAGTCTTTATTCAGAAAAAAATGGTACCAAATAAATATCATTACATCAGGGGACTCTTTTTTTGATGAAAAAAGTTTAAAAAATGTTACCCTTCTTTTCGGCTCTACTTTTTTCGCTTATTCGGCTTTCTAGTGACCGTCTCTTTTTCCTGGTTGATCTCGATTCATTATCAACAAAGTTACTGTCTTTGGTGCTGTCTTTTGATTTTACACTGCTTTTTTTTGAAATTGAAGGTTTAGATGGCTGCAAAAAATAATGTGGAATTGATTTAACTAGTTGGGCCTATTCAAACTAGGCGAGGGTGTCTTTTTTTTTCGTATACTTACTCGCATACTGGATTTACTTTCCGCTGAACGACCTTTAGTATGTTCTAAAGCATCTGAATATGCCTTCTCGTATGCCATTTTTATATTTTCTTCGGTCTTTTCTTCAAGTGTTTTATACATGTCTCTAAACGTATTCAGAGCTACTCTTGAGTCGATTACATTTAAAATAACGACATCGTCTATATTATCAGTTAAGTAAGACTCAATCGTGTTCCGAACATGTTGAATTCGATCCTGATTTATATTTGTCGAAAGTGTGCCGTTCGTTATCATAGCATTTATTTTGCTGTCTCTAATAAGGTCCTTCAATTTTTTTTTAATCTAAAATAAAAAGGAATCAAAATGTTTAATAAGTGAATAGATAAATTAAATGTCTTTTTTTACACCTGATACTCTTCAGCGCCTGGTCCAAAAATTTCATTTCCTTTTGTTTTTTTAGGCTTCACATTACGAATCAATTGGAGAAGTCTTAGCAAAGATAAAGTAACCTGTAAATGGTCTTTGCCGGTTCTTACGTGACTTATAAACCTCAAAAAAAAAAATGAAACACTATTCAAATAGAATGAGATAATTACCCCGCCACTGATATTTTTTGCGTCTATCAGTAGCGTAACTTTAGGGTGTTTTGAATGACTGGTTGGGTGCTTCGTAACGCGTATGATTGCCTTATGAACCACTTACCTAAGTAAATTGCATGAGTCTAGGGAATCCCCCAAATATGACAAAAGAATGTTGGTTCTTCTCTTATTCTTAATATGAACGGAAACATCTTCGATCAATGTTAAAGCAAACTGTTCTAATTCAGATTTTGCTGAATTACCTAAACTCACATCCGTCATCGATTTCAAAGAACACGTTAGATTCATAGGATTATCACATCCTGCTAAATCAATTAAATGTAACTAAAATAAAAAATACTTTAAATTTTAGTAAAAGACTGATTTAAATAAATTAAGTTTACTTTAGAACTTATTACGTGCGGATTAGTTTGATTTTTCTTTTTCCTCATAATGTGAAAAGTTAAAATTCCATGACGAAGGTGAGAATTATAAGAATCGCAGTTTACTAATTCTCTTCTGGCTTCCCCTGCAATGTATAATTACCATCAAATTGGTTTCTAATTCGAATTTTTGTACCCACTAAACTTACCTAAAAATAGTAGTTTTAGAGCTTCACATTCGTTCTTGAATGGTTCAATTCTCACATTTTTTATTGAAAATATATCCAACGAATTGGGTTTACAATTTAAAAGATCGTGAATCATTTTCTTTTCTATTTCTACATATGACATGAACAGAAGAGTTTTATAGTTATCTCCCAGCTCATTTTTCTTACCAATTAAATCTGTAATTAGCCGAGGCGCCAATCCCCTATCCTGAAAAGTAAATATTTTTAAAATTGTAATACATTGTTTAATGGTTCTAAATTTATTTTTTTAACTCAAGTATGTTGTAATTTCTCTATTTCTCCTTTACTATTAATTACATATATTAGGTTCTCTAAAGAAAAACACCCTGTATAGTTACAAAAATTTGCTCATTATCAGTAAGTAAGTTAATAATTTAAAATGACTATTACTAATTTAATTCTACTATTACTACTATATCACTAATTTAATTTCTTTCTTTTAGCTTTTAAAAATCAAAAATTATGTATGTTTACTTCAAAAAAGTTATCTAATCCACTAATGGTTAAACTTTTACCACTTCCGGTCTGACCATAAGCTACCACTAAAGCACTTATCCCTTTGAAAACATCCGCTACAATATCGGAAGTAATAGAATTGTATATTTCCTCTTGGCATTCTCTAAAAAACACTTTGTCAGTTTCAAAATTCCAATAAGTTGGATCATCCGCTTGGCATCCTTTTAAAAAATCTTGTAAACTTCTGACATATATCGTTTTACCGTCTTCTAATATTTTTAAATATTCCCATTGTTTATTTTTAGAAGGCAAAATTCTTGCATAAGTTTTAATATTTTTAGCTACATTGGCGCCTTTCATAATGGAATGCAAACTTTTGAACGAAGTAGCATCAAAACAAAATAGTTTTTGACAAGCGAAAATTTAAAAAAAATTTTGTCATTGTCGTAAAATGTAGAGGAGCATGAAGAAATTTAATTTATTTGTGTCCTGTAACTACTTAGCTTGTGAATTTAAATTAATATAAGGCGCAAATTTGAATAAACAGAAACCGGAAGCAAGTGTCTATCTGCGCTTGAAAAGTTACTATAACTGTACGAATACAAATATTTGGAAAAAACTAGTGTCAAAAAAACATTTTCGTTATTTGTTTTAATATGGGTGAAAATTTAAATTTTCGAAAATATAAAGAAAGACGTCAAAATTAAAATAAGGCGTCTTTAGCGACGTGACGAATATAAAAGTCCTAGAATAATATACATAACCTCATACAGTGACGTAAAAAATGGAAACCACAGTAGCACCAGTTTATGTAGAAGATGAAATAGGCCGTAAATGGGATAGATGTGTTACTGATTGCATTTTAAAATTTGGTGAGATTGTTGTATTAATAGTTGACGTTATATTTTTAGTCTTCTTGTAACTATTTCAAGAAAAATATTTTTTATGTGTTATGTCATACTTCCATTAGCTACATAAAGTGCATCATTATAGGCGGTGGAGTGCTTTTGGGTGGAGTTTTTTCGTTACTTTTCTTCAAAAGAAAACGGTGGCCCGTAATTCTTGGTGGCGGTATTGGAATAGGAATGGCATATGCTAATTGTGAACAAGATTTAAATGCTACCGTATTGGCACATCGATCTCCACCTCCTTGTTTATAATACACGCATTTTTAAATAAAAAAGACATTCTTTAGTCAAACCATAAAAGCATGGTATTTGTAACATATAACAGTAATAAACAATTCAAGCAATCATTCTGTATGTTGTACATATAGGATACTAAAAATCACAATTTCCTAAGATGTTATCTACTATGTTATTGATTGTGGTATTTATTAGAAGTATGTGTTTTAAATAAACCCTGTTATTTAAGTAATTGTTTATTAAACAGTTTTCTTTCAAAATTTATTAATATGCTATCTTAAGTTAATTGTTGTAAATGTTGCTTTTATATGCATAAAATAGAACTTAAAACATTAAGCCATTTATTAAACTTCATTGTGTCTCCTCTAAGTAGTTTTTTATAAGGAGTTAATTACAGAACTGAAACTTAACAGAAATATAAATGTTGCTTTTGAAATTAAAAGTATTTTAACTCCAGTATTTCATAAAACAAAACTGGAAGGTTTTAGGCAATTAATGAATATTAAGTCTTCTCAAAAAGATAGTTGTTTTTTTAATAACTATGTTAAGTTTTTCAATATTTTATTGAACAATTTATATATTGTACATTGCGTGCAAAAACATTAATCTAATGACTAGCACAACTTTAATAGGAATATTCAGTTATTACAGCTTTTAGGAGAAAATTTATTCTAATTTCAACATAAACTTAGTATATATTACAACTAAATTATTATTATAATTATAACGAGCACTTTTTAATTATTGTGCACCTTAAAGAATGTTATTTAAGGTTTACATGACACAAAATTCAAATGCAATATATACTCAGTTTATTAAATTGAAAATTATGAAGGTCCTCTTTTAAATATTTCATTTATTCTTTAGTTTAATGAAACACTATAGTGATGACTTAAAGTAATAAATACTATACTTTTTAACAACCTGACAGGTTTTTCTAAGTGAAACGTTTACGCATGATTTTAGCTAGTGTAAAAAGAAGTGAACGGGATAATTGCACAACCAATAAATAAAAATAATAATTAATTAGGAAGAAAATTAGATACAACAAATAATTACTTATTAGGAAACTCTGGCCAGTAATTAATATAGAAACGTTGAGTTGTTCCCTCAAATAGCCGATCCAACCAGTTTGAAAAGCCATCTAACAAATTTCCCTCCAATAATACGTCGTCATCAGATTCTGAACTGTCTGTATCAAAACCTATAAAAGCTGCTGCTTCACAGTCTTTCTCACTACCTTTCCAACGATCTGATTTCTTATCCTGATAAAAATTAAACCAATTCAAACATTAGTTTATTAGCCAAAGGACAATTTTAAAATATTTTTTGTTCAATAAACACCTTGTCATTTTGTTTCCTCTTGGTCTCAGGATGTTTAGCATGAAACATACAGAAATATTTTCTATGGCCATTTAAGGCCAAAACAGTTCCTACACAATTTCTAGGATTGATGTTAAGGTCTCTTTCTTCAGGAAGGGACAATTGTAACAATTCTTTATACCAACTTAAACCTCTTTCAATGTACATATAGGCAAACATTAATGTTTTGTTTCTGAAAAATGTATATGCTACGTTTAAAAGAAGAAATCACGGTATAGCAATTTCAAAAGTTAGTCATTTAAATGCTACTTCAGTCGGAACTAGACAAAGCTTAGTGCCTGAAAATGAATTTCCAGTTCCTTCAGTGCTTAGAAACACTGTACTTGAAGCCCTTTTGTGAACAAAAGAATTTCTTTGAGGGTTTTAAGCCCTTTCAAAACGCTAAAAGGGTTTTGAATATAATTACTTTGCAAAGTAATTAGTTATTCAAACTCCTTGAACTTTGGTCTTACAGTTATTTTGTAGGGGCTTTGTCCATCTCTGACTTCAGTTATGCCTTATAAACTCCACTTACTTTCTATATGGCCAAACAGCTTTATGAAAAGGTGGTATCAAATGTTGTCTAGACTGCATGTCAAGTACTAAAATGATAGTGCGACAGCCAGGTTTTAACAAACGCACTAATCCATTATATTTTTCAGCTCTAAGTTCGTGCAATTTTAGTTCGGGCTGATAGGTAGGATTTTTATTTTCCGTGCGATCGCGACCCTCTTTTTCCCTTTGTTTTTTGATACTTTCCTCTTCTAATCGTCTGTAAAAATTTCATATAATTAATTAATAATATAAAATAAAATTAAACAAGAAACGTACACTAAATACGCCATAAAATAACCAACGGCTACAATAAATACCACTGTGCCTACAACCGACAAAGCTGGTAAAACCTGATCCTTGCTCAAACCCTCATAAACTGATTCACTAAACATCATAAGTTTAGCGAAGATCCGACCGAATATTCCTTTTGCGTGTTCATCGAATAAATCCTAAAAATTAACAATAGATGTTACAATGTTATAATTTTTACTTAACTTAATTCTGTATATAATACGTACCTTAACAAAAGCCTCATATGTTAGAGCTTCAGATGACTTCAGTAATTTGGAAATAGTCGTTTCAAGTTTATTAACCGTCTCATTCAAATCGTTTTCAATTTCCCACTTGTCTGGCAACCATTCGTATTTTACTTGAGACGTGTCTCTTCTCCAAATAATGACTATTCGTAGCAACGGCTCTATTTCTTTACCACCTAAATAATATTATTGATAATTAAAGAACAATTAAGACAAATTTTAATTTGTTGTGTCCTTACTTGGAATAAGGGAATTAACAAAGTCTGATTGCTTGCTATGGTAAATGTATGCAAAACGAACCCTTTCCGGATTGTAGGGGGCCGATTGTGCGTACAATCTAAAAGATTGTCTGTGAGGATCGTGGCATTGAGAATCTTCTGTCACTAGGACCACGCAAAGTCTTTTTCTCGGTTTATTCCATTCACAAGGACATAAAGAGTCTAAAATACTCTAAAAAACACAAATCAATACGCTTTTACATCTTTTTCGTTCATAGTTTTAAAGAACTTGAAACTATATGATAATATATTTGAAATAGTTATACATTGTCGTATTAAGTTCAATAATCAATAATAAGCTTATTTTTTATCAATTTACTGTTTACAAAGAGCAACATGTTAATTATTTAATAACTAATTACCTGTGAGGATAATCTAGGCAGTGCTAAGTATTGATTGGATGAAATAATGTGATGTAGTGACTGAGTTGGAATTTCTTTCATTGATATGGTTGCAACAGGTCGTGATGTATTTTCATTAAATAGTAATACTGTGTCCATCTCAGATGGAATTCTGTATTTTTGCTTTAGCACTTCAGAAGTTACAAAACTTAAATATAGAGTTATTTTTCAATTATCAACTTTTTAATAAATTTCAAATATACATACCCAAATGCTACCCTATCTCTAAAATGATATGCTGTAATTAGATAGCGCAATTTTATGGTCTGCTTGGGCTCAAATACCAATACACGCACGCGATTATCTTCCCAACCATTCAAGAAATCTTCATTGTTGTTGTCATCAACAGTTGTTATCAATCTATAAGGCATTTTGCTACGCAAAAATTCTAAAATATGATTTATAGCTTTATCAATGTTGAAATACTATAATTTATGATTAATTTATTAGTGCAATTATAAATTAAGAAGGAATTAGGGCTTAATAAAAATTGTGCTACCAAGTAATTTCAAATTTGTAGGATCAGCAAAACCCAATCCTTAAAAAAGCAGTAGTAATCTTGCCTCTATCCTATACATATAAGAAGCATTGATATATTAAATAACACATACCAAGTAACTTTGGAATATTTGTTATGCCATTTTTATACACATAAATATTTCCATCTAGTAATAAGACAAGACATGGCAATGTGTGAACATTAAGGCGCCTTGCTAGGTTTGGTTCATGTCCAGAGTGAACAGTGGCAAATTCAATTCCTAAAGGCTCTAAATTTTCCATTAACTTCCGTAAATAAGGAGCACTTTGCAGACATGGAAAACACCAATCCGTGTAGAAGAAAATAAGATAAGGAGAATGAGAACTTTTAGGGAGAACAATTAACTCATACTGCCTAAAATTATGATAATGATACTTGATGTTGTCATGGCAAAGTCATATTTTTTGCAAGGATTATACTAACTTATTAGTGATTGAAAGCCTGTGGAAAAAGGTAATGTCATTTTCTTGAAAATTAAAAGTGGTGTAGCCAAAGAAATCATCAAAATGGGTGAAATATCTTGGGTGCTCAGACTTGGTTTGATATGGTGTGTCATCAGTGATTCCATGGTTATCATACTTCCTACGTTTATCAGGGTCTATTAATATTTCATATGCTTGCTTTATTTCCACAAATCTACTTTGTGCTTCGGGATTATCATTTTTATCAGGGTGCCTAAAATTATCACTGTATTTTTATTTAACATACAACTAAGTGTCAGTGTCATACCATTCTTTTACAAGTTTTTTATAAACTTTTCGAATTTCTTGACTAGTTGCTGAGCTTTTTACTCCCAAAATCTTGTAAGGGTCTGATAGCTGAGCAAAACTACCCCACAAACAGTCGGTTAAGAAACAAATAAGTAGCAAATAACTACCGTGCCATTTCATTTTTAGAACATATAGGAACAACAACTTTAAGTCATAAAATTAGAAACATTATTCAAGTTAAATAGTACTTTTTACTGCACTTCGTTTAAATATTGATTTCTGTTACGTCAAATTGATACAAAAAGATTAGGGTTATGTCCATAGATATTTAATCACAGTTATTATGGAAGGTTCATTTTTTGGGTGCGTTCTCCTTTTACTGTTCGAAATAAATAAAATAAATTGTCATATAATTAAATTTAATTTATATTCTAATCAAAATTAACCCACTTAGAAAGGATTCACGTGCATTACAATATACATATAGTTTATTATTAGCACTTTGGTAAATTTTTAAATAATGAATTTATCGTAAAAGGACTAATATTATTTTTAAATGATTGTTGTTTGATAACGCGTTGATAATAACGTTATGAATAACATGGTTAATTAATTTAATCATAAGTAGGGTACTGCATCTTAAATAGGTGCCCAAAGATAACACCCTGTATATAGTTTCGTTCCTTAATCGATACGCGGTTTCTCTTTCCATTTGGTTGGTTCACTAACAGTAACGGAATTTCAAAATGGCTATTGGTGCTATTAGTGTTAAACCATTCATACCGCGAGTTATTTTTAACTGATGCACGTGGTGGAGTATTTCTAAGGAAATTTATTTAGTGCCTATATTTTCATCATTTTGTTCAATGTTTTAGTCAAAGGTAAATTTTTCTAATATTCTTATACATTAAAAGTTATACAATTCTAAATTTTGTGCTGCCCCGTTATAAATATTTTTTTTGGGGCTGTGCACAATCTGGGCGCCAAAACACATTCTTATGAATTAACTATAGGGCAATTTTAAAAAATGTCTTGATTCAATTTATATTTGAAATTATCAAGAATAGACGAAAAACACCAAACATAATTTTTAGAACAAGATTCACCCACACGTTTTTAAACTGCTCCTATTGAAATAGAACTTTTTCGAGAAGTTTTTAATTAAGTATTTAATGAAGCTTTTCATTTATTTTATAATGGTTTTCATATTGAATACATAATTCTTATCAACCAAGATAAGATAGGTATTGTAAAAATATTACTGCAATTTATTATCATAGAATTACAGAAAAAAATCTCATCAATTCGGAGTTTAACTATATGTTTTTGTATGATACCTATTAAAATATGTTTAATGCTGAGTACTGTAATATTGTTTTATAGAACATTGTTATACATGTGTAGTTTTTTCTTATCAACTTCTATTCATTGCAAATCTATTATTACCAAAGTTCAAATAGGTACCTAACTGGTTCAAAAAGTTTATTGAACTGTAAATATTATTAACTCGAATATAACGCTAACTTTTTTATTTAATGATTGCGATAGAATTAATTCATACCTCACTATAAGTTTCATTTGATTGAATCCAAACACTCAGTAATTAAAAAAGTATCAATCTACAGGGCATTCGTAGTAATTTTACATACAATTATCACAAATGTTTCTGTATTTCTCATAAGAAAATATACATACTACGCAAATTTGCTTGAAGAAATATGAATTTAATTAATGAGCATTATCATATCCGTTTTATTCAATCATTCATTCATTCATTTATTCATATCTCAGCTACCGACTTCCTCTGATATATTTGATATGATATATAAGGGACCCCTTACTAAGTAAATATGTTTGTGGTTGATACATATAAATGAAGCAGAAAGGATGGAATAATCATATAAAGCATCTAAAATTCATCATATCCTACTAAAGTAAATTCTGAAATTCGGTATGTTCGCATATGAACATGTGTATGTAAAACCATGTAGCTAATAGGTATGTTGGAACTTCAAAGAGTGGTTCAAAATGCCTCAAGTATCGCGTTGTGTGACAACGAAAATATTTCCTTAGGAAGGCAAAATTGTAACGAAAATGATGTCACAAAAAAAATATATAAAAAAGCTTACGCAATATACACTAGTGGCGAATTTAGAACCGAACGTAGGGATATTCAATTATTTTTTATTTATTTTTTTAAATTCCTTTTACCATCTTTTATAAATATAGTAAAAGAATACTTATAAGTCCAATAAATGCAAATTATAGCATTGATAAAGAGACGAAATAGAAGACATTTCGCTTAATTAATTTATTACGAATTGTAAATATCCTATAAATTGTGTTTCCGAAAGCTGCTATAAAAATCACAATGAATCTCATCGTGTTCGAAGAATTTAAACATCTCTTTCATTATGATATAAAACCATCGTTAATTTCTGAAATTGACATTATCAATTAACACTTAGGAGCGAATCGCCTAAAATAACTAAAGTTACTTCATCATTCTTAGAAATAAATCAGATTTTTTTCAATGATAAGGCGTAGTTTTCAGTGACATCACTTTTTTTAACAAACAATAAATTCTTGACAATTAAAACGTTAATTGGGTGGATGGGAGGTAGTGCACATGCTTACTGTACCATTAATTGGGTAATTGTCAGATTACTTAATATCATTATTAGTTGTCAGCTATTGTCAGCGACTTTGCTTTTATTAAAGGGTAGATTTTTAAATAGAGGTCAATCTAGCCCAATTTTTGTACGAAATTCCATTGGCTTCTCAAAAATTGTTTATAATAAACTCGGATGTGGGTGGTGATGGCCTATGAGGTAAATTAGACAACGAAAAAGACGTTGATTTAAATAGATATTTGGCACGTTTCATAAAACTTGTTGTGCATTCATTTTTCGTGTACCAACTCGACAAATAGTTCAATTATTTAACAAAATAACGAAAAATTTTTCATAAAAATTTGGAATCTCTACAATTGTTTCGAGATTCAATTGACGAAGAAATATGCACGAGTTTTGGAAATGAGAAATTACGAACATCGAGATTACTGTCTGTATTATTTAAACTGTAATTAAATGATAACATTCAGGATTAGTTAATTGACTAGGTGTATAAAATTTCTCTCTTATCTATTTTAATTTCAGATCAGTAGTTCGTAAAACATAATTTTCAAGTAAAAAATATGCGTTAATTCGCTGGTTTCGAACTAGAAACTTTATTTATCATTTTGTTTCAAGATGTGGATTTTGTTCCAGCTTCTCTCGGTTACATCTTCTCTCTGATCCCTTTCCTCTTTAGAAGGTTTAAATGAATAGAACGGAAAATGAAATTCTAAATCTCTTACGAAATACCTTTCATTAAAATACACAATAGAATCTAATTAAAGACGTTTCGTGAAGAGTCCTTTTGTATTTAATTTCTCTGCCGTTTCGGCGTATAATTTTTCTACTCGACTCTCGGTGAAGAGGTTCAAATGATTACTGCTGTTGCAGATTAAAAATGTAGCGCAGAAAAACTAAAGTCTGTGTAATTACGACTCTGGTAATTGAATAAATTTATATTCATTGTTATTTGAGAACATTTTCTTTTATTTTGCTTTATATACAGAGAGGATCGTTGTGATAAAACAAGAGGTAGTTACCCAAAGGGATGTTATTTTCAAAATTAACATATGCAGAATATTTAACCGTAATAACGCCCTCCTGTTTAAAAATTAGCTGATTTAATGATTGCATTTTAAAATTTGGTGAGATTGTTGTATTAATAGTTGACGTTATATTTTTAGTCTTCTTGTAACTATTTCAAGAAAAATATTTTTTATGTGTTATGTCATACTTCCATTAGCTACATAAAGTGCATCATTATAGGCGGTGGAGTGCTTTTGGGTGGAGTTTTTTCGTTACTTTTCTTCAAAAGAAAACGGTGGCCCGTAATTCTTGGTGGCGGTATTGGAATAGGAATGGCATATGCTAATTGTGAACAAGATTTAAATGCTACCGTATTGGCACATCGATCTCCACCTCCTTGTTTATAATACACGCATTTTTAAATAAAAAAGACATTCTTTAGTCAAACCATAAAAGCATGGTATTTGTAACATATANCGTCGCTTGTTAAATAATAATGACAACCTCTTAAATCTCAAATGACAATCTTATTTATTAATCCATTCTCGTCATACGATTAAATTGGATCAGATGCGCATTGAATTTCCTCATTAATCGTTGCATGTCTTTAAAATACAACGTGACGAATGAAATAATAATGTCTTTCTGCGTTAGTATCCACTTGAATTCGAATTATCCCATTTTTAATCAATCAATAGGACACCTTAGCAAATATGTTAATACTTTTTTACTTTTTTCCTACTTCAATCTCATTAAAGTTACGTACTTGGGTGCATACATTTGATTTTAAGTAAATAGTGCGTCTGCCAATTCTAATTTAATAACATGTTGCTGAATGTGCAATGAGTAATGGATTTTATTGAATTTTAATATTAAGAATCAAACAATCGCTTTATTGTTTAGAATATTGGAGATAATAAACTGTTTAATCCATTAAATATGGGACAGTTGAGAAATATTAGTTTATTTATATGACTTCTGTCAGGGTTATCGATAATGGTAAATAAAAAAATCGGTGAACGTCATGGCACGATAGCATACTGTTTATATAATTTACAAAAATGTGAATTAAACTCAAAATTATATTATTAATATGTAGATGCATATGCAGAGTTATAATATTTAAGCTATTATAAAGTACAAAACTTAGAAGTCAACATCATCAGCGGAAAAACCAGTATTCAGTGTTAATAATGCGAAAATTTGCAAAGCGATGTAATTTCAAACTCGATTGCGTTCGATTTAGACGAGAATAGTGCACAGAAAAAAATGATAAGAGGTTATCCAAATAAAACAAAAATATTCGACCCAATTTTCGTTGTTTCGTAATTGCGGTATTCCGAACTATTCCATAAATTTGAATTTGAACGTCAAAAACAAACAAATTTACTTATAGCATTGAAAAAAAAAACTAGTCGGGAAATTAGGTCACCCTAATATATATGTGTGTGTATTATTTTAAATCTCCCTATTCTATTTTTGGATCGCTTCTTTAATGTTTAATCAATCTAAGTAAAAGTCTTACTTCAGTAAATCAGAAAAAAGAAGAATTTCCCTCTTCGCTTCGCGAACTTTCATATTTTGTATCAGTAAATGTTTTCTGAAATTGATTCCTTGTCTCTAAAAGTTCGTACCAGTCTTAGGACTGATGACCTTATGATGATGATGACTGAATGCGATTCTTAGATAAATTATGAAATTTCTGGTTTTGATATTACTTGATAACTTTATAGGTATATGAATTAATGAATAATTTACAGAGAATGTCTTAAGTCCTTTTAATTTTTACGCAGTGAAATTATATTTTCTTTCTGATGCGTTTATTAAAGTTAACAATAAATTACTGATCACACTTCTGATGACATTATAATAAATATTAGCTACAATGCAATATGTACATAAAATATTTGTACGTACTGTTATAAAGTTCAAGGTAAATAAAACAATACTTTTGCACGTTTAAATTTCACGTGACAAATCCATCAATATTTTATCTATTCAATGCTGCCATGCTGGTTAATTTATCAATTGTAGATAAGTTATAAACATACACGAAATATAAGTTCTCTTCAACAGCTGAATAAGGATTTTAAAGTAATTATAATTGATTGAATTTACGAGTATAATTGTGAAATTTTATGTACGTATATTTTTAATTTCATTTTATTGTTGTTGTTTTAAATTTCGTTTTCTTTTTGTTACAGGACACAAAAACGCAGAATACCACGACTAAAATGATTATTTAATAGCGTGTTCAAAATTATTATTTTTTCTTTTCGAAAATGTTGTAGATAGCTTACAATCCCATCCGCAGACGTTTGCTTTTCAAGGATATTTAGTTTTAAACTTTCTATGTTATAATTAATATACGAATTAATTAGTTAAATAATAATTATCTCTTATCTTTTCACTTACTCGAGCCGAAAAGTTATAAATACCTACATTCATACTTAAATCTTTTTTGAATTTTGAACAATGAAGAAGGAGTACATTTTATACGACAAAAATGGCATGTCTTCGAAGAAAGGTAAGTTTTTTTCTTATCAGACATTGTTACTTATTTTCTTTTTTGTATTTCCCCTTGATGTCTTTTTCTTTAACTTTTCCCGTTTCTATTCTATGTTACTACTAAATAATAGGAATGTCTTATTTATTCTATTTCAATCAAAAATTTCATCAGGTTTCATATTTCAATTATTCCTTTCACCAACAATTGCTTGTATCCTATTGTTTGCGTAAGCAATTGTTTCTTCCACTTTTTATTCTGGCGACAGGTGACAATGTGGTTGAAGTAGCACACGTTTTTTTTATCGAATGCGGAAAAAATTAAGCCGTGCGTGATTTCTTTTACGAATGTCACTCTCCAGGTTAATCACCCTGGGGAAATAGAAAATTGCTAGGGAGGAAAAATCTTGACGACGCACTATTTTAATCCGATCGAAAACAGAAAGGCTCGTGCCTAGGTGTGCACATAATTCAAAAACATCGAAAAGTTCAACAAGACAGAGCCTAATGTGGCTAAAAGCTCAACGATTTTTCTTGTTTTGAGTAAAATCATCGGGTATTGGAGAAAATTGGATTTTCTGTGGTGTGAAAATATTTAAAAAACAAATTTCTAATGTCGTTTTCAGCAAAATATAATAAATTAACTAAATAAAGTGAACAGAGAAGGCATATTATATATTAAACCTCAACCTGTTATCGTCGCTTGTTAAATAATAATGACAACCTCTTAAATCTCAAATGACAATCTTATTTATTAATCCATTCTCGTCATACGATTAAATTGGATCAGATGCGCATTGAATTTCCTCATTAATCGTTGCATGTCTTTAAAATACAAGGTGACGAATGAAATAATAATGTCTTTCTGCGTTAGTATCCACTTGAATTCGAATTATCCCATTTTTAATCAATCAATAGGACACCTTAGCAAATATGTTAATACTTTTTTACTTTTTTCCTACTTCAATCTCATTGAAGTTACGTACTTGGGTGCATACATTTGATTTTAAGTAAATAGTGCGTCTGCCAATTCTAATTTAATAACATGTTGCTGAATGTGCAATGAGTAATGGATTTTATTGAATTTTAATATTAAGAATCAAACAATCGCTTTATTGTTTAGAATATTGGAGATAATAAACTGTTTAATCCATTAAATATGGGACAGTTGAGAAATATTAGTTTATTTATATGACTTCTGTCAGGGTTATCGATAATGGTAAATAAAAAAATCGGTGAACGTCATGGCACGATAGCATACTGTTTATATAATTTACAAAAATGTGAATTAAACTCAAAATTATATTATTAATATGTAGATGCATATGCAGAGTTATAATATTTAAGCTATTATAAAGTACAAAACTTAGAAGTCAACATCATCAGCGGAAAAACCAGTATTCAGTGTTAATAATGCGAAAATTTGCAAAGCGATGTAATTTCAAACTCGATTGCGTTCGATTTAGACGAGAATAGTGCACAGAAAAAAATGATAAGAGGTTATCCAAATAAAACAAAAATATTCGACCCAATTTTCGTTGTTTCGTAATTGCGGTATTCCGAACTATTCCATAAATTTGAATTTGAACGTCAAAAACAAACAAATTTACTTATAGCATTGAAAAAAAAAACTAGTCGGGAAATTAGGTCACCCTAATATATATGTGTGTGTATTATTTTAAATCTCCCTATTCTATTTTTGGATCGCTTCTTTAATGTTTAATCAATCTAAGTAAAAGTCTTACTTCAGTAAATCAGAAAAAAGAAGAATTTCCCTCTTCGCTTCGCGAACTTTCATATTTTGTATCAGTAAATGTTTTCTGAAATTGATTCCTTGTCTCTAAAAGTTCGTTTTGTATACTGAAAATCTTTGATCGTATCTTAGACCATTAACTAAAAAATAACGAGTTTCCCACTTAGTCTCTGTATGCATGTAGGAGTTTTTTTTTTATTATCTTGTGAGAGAGCGTTTTCGTGCTTGTAAATATTTATTGTAGGTACAGGTTAACATAAATCAACTCTCAAAGTATTCACGAAATTTGATATCAGATAATAATGCCTGATAATGATGAAATCAACTTAATAACCCTTTATCACTCTGTAAATCTTTACAGCTTTGCACACAGCAATTATTATTTTCCATATCAACTTTGTCCCAAATCTGCATAAACACGAAAGTTGCATTTGTAATTACTTTATAATGGCAGTGATAAGTACGTATTACAGCAAAAAATGGTAGAAAGATTATATTATTAGATATTTTTATTGCGTTTTGATTAGGAAAGTTTTATGTTTTCTACAGTTTTCCTCGCGAAAATACACAGTTACTGCTTATATAATATGATTCACTTCGTCCACGTTGCCTTTTCCTACCGTAGTACGGAAGTACATATTATTTTTTAGGAATCCTATTTAATGGTAATATAATATTTAATGTAATGTTGTCATACCGTACATGTTTAACGCGTTTTTGATATTCTCTTTTTAAAATGAGTTTTGAAAGTTAGATTTAGCGTAAATAACTTGGATTATTAAACTCGCGCTATTCTTCACGCATGGCTAGCCAGAGTGCTGTGGTTTAGACAACATACATGTATCAAGGGGGTAACTACCCTATCATATCTACTCTACTCTGTTGATAAAAGCTTCAACTCGAACCACCCTAAATGTATGCGCACATGTTGAAATATCTAAGGATTTATTATACTATTAAATGTTTATTACTGTAAATGTATTCCATATGTTATCGTCAGTATGGTACAATTTGTTATGCACAAAGGGTCAGTTAAAGGGAAAGTACAAGGTTTTTTGGCACACTAATTAAATTGCACAGATCATACAAATAAACCAACTCCAAATGTAAATCATATTTTTCTTTTCAGTCAAAACCGACTATTTATCATCCCTTGTTTGCGTTTTGTTACTCGTTGAATGTTGGAACTTTTCCAGGACAAATAAATCTAACAGTTAGTGGTGCCCTCCACCTAAATCTTACAAAAAAATTAATTTCAGAGGTTTATGAGAACTACAGATGTTATTTAAGTTTATTTGTTTTAAATTTAAGAAATGCCTTTCGTTTTACGTAATATATGCATGTTTTTTTTCTATACTATTTAATTAAGATTCTGTAAATCGGTTGGCAAATATTTAAAAATGTAATTTTCATTCTATTTTTAATGGGAAAATAAATAGCCAATCTCGCGTTTTGAGTCACAAACCCGTCAACAAAATACATTTGAACATAAAGTGTAATGCATTTAGTTGCGTAACTTAATAAGCAATGTTACATAGATTTTATTTTTGTTCGATTTTACTACGCTATAAAGTTTACTACAAACTTTTATGACCAATTTAATGCAGAAACTATTTTGCAGATAGAAATTTACGTTTAAGAAAATGTCGCTGTATCATGAATCCTCTGAAATATTAATACATATGTTTGTGCACATCTTTGGCATAGTACCTTTTGAATTATATACATTTCATTATCCTCCTTTAATAATTAATACCGCAAGAAACATACCAAAAGTTTCAACATTCTTGTATTAGTATATTTACTCATTCTTCTACTCATTTTAATGTAGCTTTAACGCTTTGCCTTTTTCTGCAGTTACTTTATATCGTACATCTGAGGCCCTTAAAATGATCTTGCTTGAAACGTTAGCAGCAGGTTGGTGTCCTCTTCGGAGGCACTTACTAAAACGTGTTTGACCTCTTTTTCCCTTTTTCAGGGACCGACGAGCAACACCAACAGTACGTGGAGGAGAAACAACCCGTCATTCAACCCGTTCGCTTGCAGCCATCCTGGGAAGAGAACAATTTACCCGAAGACGAGCTCAACTTTAAAAACCTTACCATGGACGACGCAAGCCTTCAACTCCACACGCCTCCAGATAAATACAATCTTGTCTATTTGACCTTTCTTCTCCATGGAATCGGTGTTCTCATGCCTTGGAACATGTTCATCACCGCAGGAGATGTAAGTCAGTAAAAGTTTTTTAGTAATTAGTTTTAATTAAAAGTCCTGTAGTATTTTGTAATCTAATAGTTGTTTTTCTGTTTTCGTTTTCAAGTATTTTACGAATTACAAATTGGGAAAGGAGTATATTGGTCAGGATTTAGCCTATGCGTCCAATTTTTTGCAGTACCTTACGTTTGCAGCTCAAGTTCCTAATGTTATTTTTAATTGGCTCAATGTGTTCGTTCAAATGGGGTAATTATAGATAATCATAGGACCAAACTAGAGCTGCACTATCTTAAACACTTTTTAGAGGCAATCTCACCACCAGGATTGTATGGAGTATATCAGCAGAAGTTGTGATTTTTATATTGACCATAGTTTTGGCCATGACTGAAACAAACGAATGGCCAGGTCCCTTTTTTTGGATTACCATGGTGTCTGTGGTATTTTTAAATAGTAAGTACCTATCGATTCATTAATTAACCGAAATTTAGACTTAAGTAATTTTTAAAGTTGTAATATTCCTTAGTGGCTAATGGTGTTTACCAAAATACAATTTTTGGTATGGCTGCAAAGTTGCCGTTAAAATACACCGGTGCTGTGGTACTTGGCTCCAATATAAGTGGAACGTTTACTTCGGTGGTAAAAATTTTGTCGGATCTTTTTGCCTCGAACCAGAGGATGTCGGCAATCTACTACTTCATAACTGCCCTCTTTGTGCTTTTGGTTTGTTTCGACACGTATTTTGCACTGCCACTAAATGTTAGTCGTTAAAATATTTATATTCTTGATAATTGTTTTGATGATTATGTTATTGTAGCGATTTTATAGACATTACGAGCTTAAGGAAAAAAAAGAAGCTCAAAGTAGATTAAAAGATAATCAGGGGAGGGTGGAACGAATACCGCACTTTTATATATTTAAAAAGGCGTTCCCACAATTGTACAATATTTTCATGGTATTCTTCGTCACATTAGCAATATTTCCAGCTATACAAGCAAGTATGTGTTTTTAAATTTACTTTTAAAATGGCTTTAGTAAAATCTTAATTATTTTTTTTTCAGATATACAAATTTCTGACCTAAATTTTTTTGTTGGGACANATAATATATACATAATCATAACTATAATTGTACAAAGGAGTATGGAAAAAGGGTGGAAGAACTATTAGGGGAAGATCAATTTGGGTTTAGTAGAAGTAGAGGCCCTCGGGAGGCCATTCTAGCTTTACGGGTAATAATAGAGAAAACGATACAAAAAAGAAATAGTGCGTACATAGGATTCGTAGATTTAGAAAAAGCTTTTTAACAATGTTAAATGGCATAAGATGTTAAATATACTTAAAAATGTAGGGATGAGTTACAAAGATAGAAGAGTGATACTTAGTTTGTGTAAAGAGCAATATGCAGTTATAGAGATGGGGCTGCAACGTAGAGAAGTAAATATTAGGAAGGGAGTCAGATAGGGATGCACACTGTCACCGCTACTATTAAATCTATACATCGAAGACGCGAACATCATCATTAAAGACAGTACAACTGTATATACATAGGGGCAAAAGATTAATATGCTCACATTTACAGATAATATAGCAGTATTAGCATCTAGCAAGGAGTTAGAGATAGCTTTAAATAAAATGGAAGCGGTATTGACAAAACAGTACTGTATGAAAATAAATATGAACTAAAACAAAAATACTGGTGTGAAAAGGAAGAAAAAATAGGGAAAGAGCGAATATAAGGATAGGAGACTAACGATCAGAAGAAGTGGCAGATTTTAGGTATTTAGGAAGTCAAATAAGTCAGTACGGAAGGAGTAGTGAGGTATAAAGCAGGATAGCGCAGGGTCGACTCGCCTCAATAAAATGAAATCACTTCTATGCTCGCAAACGATTAATTTAGAAATTCGAAAAAGGCTGTTAGAGATGTATGCTTGGAGCATAGCGCTGTACGAGTGCGAAAAAGAAAATGTTAGAAGTGTTCGAAGTGTGGTGTTACAGGCGAATGAAGAGGGTACCATGGATAGAGAAGGTTAGAAATGAATAAAAGGTAAAACAAAAAGTAGACTGATCATCATTAATTAATATATATAATTATTAATTAATTATTATTAAACCACCTACATACATAATATATATGTTACACCAAGTTTTTTACTTGGCGATGTGTTACAAAGTTGAATATATTGAAGAGTTCTTCCAATATCTATAATAATAATGAGAATAAAATTGATAGAATAGATTTTATATCGTGTACAGACATTACGTTTTAATATTAATTGAACATTTATTACAAAAAACGTAAGACAAGATGATTTTTATACTGCGACTATTTCATGTTATTTTTTTGGGTTTTAAAAACAGCAGTAGCTTAACTTTTCCAAAAGAAAACCTTCAACTTGTTACTACTACGCTTATCTACGTTTAAAACGTATTATAATAACGCTGATGAATTTAAACCATATATTAACTTATGATATTAGATTTAGGAACAACAACATACTATCAAAAGGGGGCTTTAAGAGTATTTTTTATATTTTTGGCCCGACCAATTGCTAATTTTTAATGATTTCTGATCTAAATTCGCTTCAAAACTTCTGGTATGTTCTAAAATTTAATTTATAATTAATACTAGCAAAAACACCTTCAGTTAAATGCATTTTGCAAGAAGTATCAGCAACTTAGTGATAAAATGCTCGTCTGTTATGTGGGTTGCCGAGATGTGACCCTGATCGATACCATATTTTTTCTGTTAGCTTGTAAAACAAATTGATTGAATTTTGATCACTCAAAAAAGCCCCCATTGAAAATGTAATTTTAAATATGTAACGGAGTGACCATTTCAAGAACAATCGCAATTAGATAGTTTACAAAAAAGAACAAGAAAAAACGATACAAGACCAAATAATATTTATTATTGCTGCCTTTTACAAGCATGATATACTTTTCGTATGGTATAAGGACTAGTTTGTAGTTCGCCTTTTTAATTGCCTACAAATTTTAAAGTTGAATTGTTTTTGTTTTTCGTTTAAAGTCAAGCAAAAAAACGTGCACGTACCTGAAATTATAAAGTGTAATCTTGGCAAAAAAGTTTAAAATTCAAAAATTATTTTTTAATTAATATTTATTGG